ACTTAAATTTATATTTTATTCAAAAATAAAAACATTACCGCTTTCTCAAAACCACTAAAAACCGTATTATATCGACATAAGATAAAAAAAAAAACAAAACGAAACATTAAAATGAAGATATATATCGCTATATTATGCGAGCACACTTCTAGCAATTCTTAATACATTATTGATTTATATGGGTTCTTGATAGAAAATGTACCACTGGAAATTTAAAACTATGAAGAAATCTCTAAAACTTAATATTGAGGAGAAACGTACGTTATTTTAACAGTTTCCACCACAATGACAACAGTATTTTCCGAGTGCTTCTATACACACATACTTTCTAAACCCACGATTTTCCAACACGACATTCTTCCGTTAAACAATGATATTCTTAAACTTGTTAAAAACCCATTTTAACCAAAAACCCGTTGTATCCAACACATGGCACCGTTAGGCACCATCGCCTTCCTTTGACCGCATAATCTTTTATCACCTCGTATATCAGACAAATACGTTTAGGCCTTTGACATTCGATCCGTAAAAGATGAAAGCCGAAAACAAAACCCATAGAAAGACATGGACCCAATGTCAATGGTATCCAAGCAAAAAATATGCTACATACTTTTTCACTTCTTGTTCCTTTTATTGGGTATATTTTCGGACCTCGAATCTTCTTGGCCCTTAGATTGGTCAAAAGTATTTCATCCCAGAATCTCCAAGATTCTTACTTTCTTGCTAAAAGTCGATCGATCTTTCTTTCAAGCAAGATTGGATGTATCTACACAAGGATATCGATAATCCGGGCTTAATTGGTTCAATAGTTTTTGTACATCATGATGACATGCATGGGCCGACCAAACAGAACAAATTGGACAAGCGTTGAATAAGAATGCGATCTGGGTAAGCGCCGACAGGGACGGACCCAAAAAATATTTCAAATGGTGGTACCATTTGACTATAAGAAAATACTATAGAGAAAAAATTCAAATGGTGGCACTATTTGACTATAAAAAACAAATGTACGAAAAAAATTTCAATCGGTGGCACCATTTGACTAAGAAAATGACACTAACACGATTTGAACTTGGGTATGGGGTGGAATAAAAGCCTTGTAAACCAACTCTACCAAATAAAACTTGTTCTCATTGTAGTTTCGAAATACATACGACGGCACACAACAAATTAATACGGTTGCATCTTTCACGAACCTAATTTTTTTTTACCCTTCGACGGAGGAATAATATGGTGACACGTGTCACCGTATGCACCACTATAGGTCTGTCACTGAGCGCTGACCAATGGTTGATCTAGAAATTTAAATGACTGAGATCAAACTTAAGAGTGTCAAAAAGTTTCTGAAGCTGAATACCCCATCCGAACCAAAATAGTTTCAGGTTATCTGGTTTTCGGGTTAAACATCTCAGTTATATTTATTATTTTACTACTTCGGTTAAACCGAAAAGCAAATTATGCCATAACTTTATATATTTTATCTCTAGATAACTGGTTTGAGACTTTAAGCATATACAACAATTAACACATGATAAACCAGTTTATAGCTAAAATAACAAGATATTGAGATGAATTTAATGAAACAATACAAAAAACTGGAATTTGATATGAATAATATTAAAATGGATTTAACAGAACAATACACGGGATACTGAGATGGATTTATTTCTTTTGTTTTTGGTGGAAAAAACAATCAAATGTATGGGGTCTTGTAAAAACTGACTGAAGTTCTTTGACTGTGAAACCAAGCCATTTATAAATGTTAAAATTATTTTTTAGGGTAAATTGCATGAAAAAAGTAAGGTACTTTAACTTGATTTCTATTATGGGTAACTTACTTTCAAAACTTCATTTTGGTACATAAGATGTAAATTTATAAACATTTAAGTACCCGAGTAACCGGTTGAAATACTAATTTTAGATTTAAAAAAATTTATGTCACTAACCAGTAACCACGTAAGCAAATAATATGAGTTGGATACCATAACACTCGCTACATCAGCATGATAACCGGTTAATACATCAACCGGTTACCCGGTACTTAAATGTTTAAAACTTTACATCTTAGATACCAAAATGAAAGTTTTAAAAGTATGTTATCCAAAATAGAAATCAAGTTAAGCCAAATCTAGAGTGTTTAGACTTTTGATTGGGTCAAGAAACCCCATTAAATTACATGTAGCTCCGTCACTGACACTGACGAAATGTTTACCAAGTGTCAAATGGCATATGAACCAACATTAAGATGACATGGCACCGATTGATCAATTAAAACACATTGGATAAGTGTTGATTGAAAATTAATGGTTGTTTACCAAGTGTTTCTGTAAGTGCCACATGAGTCAGAACACAACTCCTTCCTTATTGGTTAGCATATTTGTAGCTCAGAGTGTGTTGGTAAACGACATTCCCCTTTTACTGGGTAACCGATGCTTACCCAGTAAGAGAAGCGGTCAACGGGTAGTAAAGAGCCGCAAAGTTGGCATGTTAATCTACTCAAACATGAACGAAATTAGAAGGTATCGTTTAGGTATATCACTTAAATTAGATTTTAATACAACCCATGACCGTTCTCATGAGTATGAAATATTTTTTCTAATAGTTCATGAGGTCATAAATTTAATTAAAATCTGATTTTGAGATTACATACCTAAATGACAATAAATTAGAATCTTATATATATATATATATATATATATATATATATATGAGCGATCAAATGAAAACCACTTCAATTTGTAAAAACCGTAAAAACTACTATCATCCGTCTTAATCTTATGAATTTTTTTCATGAAATTGTTTAATCTTGTGAAATTGTTTCATACAATACTTTTTTTGATAAAGTTGTTTCATATATGGTTATGAAATTGTTTCATATACTACTTAATGAAATTTTAATGAAACTGTTTCATGTATTTCTTTAAAATTAAAATCACGAAGATGATAATATTCATGATTAACATCCTACACAATAAAAATGATTAATCAACCTCTCATAATTACAAAAAAATTAACAAAATAAAAAATTATGATTGGTGGAATGAAGTTTTTACGGTTTTTACAAATTGAGTGGTTTTCATTTGATCGCTCCCATATATATATATATATATATGTATGTATAGAGAGAGAGAGAGAGAGAGAGATGTGTTCATCGGATGAAATCCAATGGATTTAGGTAGATCTGATCCAATCCAAATCCAAAGGATGATTGGATCGAATCGATTTCATCTATTGGATGATCTATTGGTTATCCATTGGAACGGATTGGATTCGTCTAATCTATTAATCCAATACTCAACCAATTAATCCATCATTTCAATCGATTATTCATATATTTTCTTAAGTTATTAAAAAACAATGTACATAGATATCAACTAAAAAAAATATTGTAAAATGTTAATAATTATATATAGTTATTAATTGGATGGTCATTGGATCGGTTCGGTTTTATTGGATATTGGATTGCCATCCAAGAACTGATCGATCCGATTTGGAAGTTGAAATTCTGGATCCGATTACAATTGGATATCCGATTATGGTCGGTCGGTTTTAATTGAATCGGATGACTTTATGTGCTCTTTGCTCGCGCGCACACACACATATATATAAAGGTGTAAAACTCCCAATCCATGAAATAACAAGAAAAGAAATGGGGTGTCATTAGACCTCTCCACAAGTGCTTTTTAAATCCACTGTCGTACGACATGTGACAGATTTCTAGACATTCTTCTGTTACATATTGATATTTTCAAACCTGACATTCAAAAGGTCATAGATTTAATAAAAACTTGCCAGAAAGTCATTTGACCAAACGACCCCATAGAAGGGACACTACGAAAAACAACATAAAAAACGGGTTGACGTGTGTGTGTGTGTGTATGCATACTAATTGCTATCTTATGCAATGTAGAAACCAAGTAGATAGTACACGAACACGGGAACATGGAATATATTGAAATCATATAAAGATAACGGAAAATATTCTGTAGATTCTAGTGTTGACCCGATTTCACCATCACGTTCTGTGTTTTCTTGTAATGGGGTATATACGATGAAGGTTCGAGAGATGAAGATTCATCGTTTTGCGATGCTTACGTTACATACGTTTGAAAAAAGGTGCAAAGCTTTTCTAGGCTCAATAATGTTATAAATAGCCTAAGAATTCTAACGTTCTTCCTCAAGTGTTCTTAGCTTCTCTTCATTAGTGAATACAACTTCTCTTCATTAGTGAATACAAAGAGATTCTGATCCAGTGACATCAAAGTTGAAAGAACAATGGATCCTTCAGAGACTCAGAGGTACTAAGCATGACATATACACACACAAGTTCTTGAAAGTAATATGAGAGTAGTGTTTTACTACCTGTGTTTCAAAATAGGTGTCCATGTTTCTATTTTAGTTTGTTCTAAAATAAGTATCCACTTTGGAAAAATTAGTGCATACTTTACCATTTTACCCTTAATTATGAGATGGCTCCATCTATTATTAAGGGTAAAATTGTTATTTATTTCATTAAAATGTATTAAAAGTTAAAATTGTGTGTTTTTTTTTTCTTTATGTACACTTATTTTGGGACCGAAGGGGTAATCGCATGCATATCCACGGCTTTAAAAGGCTCGCCGCAACAGCTGTCAATGCGTAGTTCTTTTAACGTGATATTTGATTTTTCTTACATTTTTAATGTCTTGTTTGTTAGATTTTAATATATAACCTAATAGTAATAATAGAAAACACATGTTTACATATATATATATATATATGTATATATATATATGTATATATATATATATATATATAATGTTATATATGATATAGAGGTTTGTCGTCATAAGTCATGTCTTGAAAAACGTCATGGACTCGCATCGACTCCTAAGGCTTGAGGCTTAGCTCTCCGATAAGCCAAGTGTTTTTATGGAAATGACTAATCTACCCCCATTGGAGTAGTGGTGAAACCGTAGTTTTGAGTGAAATTTACTTGGTTTGGTTATTTATATGAAATGATGTGGGGAGGTTGTATCTTATTAAATGCTGTGTTGAGTAGGAACAAGTGTGCAGCATGCTATAGACAGTTTAACAAAAAGGAGCATCTGGTGGAACACATGAGGGTTTCGTATCATTCAGTTCATGAACCCATGTGTGGAATTTGTGGCAAGCGTTGCCGATCATTTGAATCTCTTCGCGATCATCTTATAGGTAATATATATATATATATATATATATATATA